CCGAAAGCGCCCACCGTGCTTGCGATGTCTTGCAGTCCGAGCTGCAGGCCCCGATCGCAGCTAAACATGGAAGCCGGAATAGTACCTACAGTTGTCATTGTAGTTCCTTTTTGGGGGGTTACCTTGTAGGATCCTCATTATATATTTGGGTAAACCAAAAAAGGAACTACAATGGAGACTACAATGACTATAGGTAACCAACATGTTTCCTTAGGGTTCCTAATCTGTAAAATGCCAGGAAACCCTGAAGGCCCCATCTGTGGATCTATACGGTACAAGTGCTCGTGTGGTAGAGGTCACGGCGAGGGTCTTCAGCCAGTCGAAGAAGATGCACACACTAGACCCCTAAACTCTAAATCTCAAGAATCCGAAGTCTTCCAGTAGCGCTGGCCACAGCTCGGACTTTCTCTGCAGGTTCATGGGGTTGTTTGTGCTTTTTGTTGCAGTGCCTTCGATGTAACAATAAGGCACGCATGCCTTCATCCAGCCCCAGGAGCAACTTGCAATGGCTCATTGCTTTCTCAAGATTGCATGATCCAGTCCCCAAATCCTTCAATTGAATCCCCCAGTTTCCTAAACCCTGAACCTTTGACCCCATAACGGTAGCCATGGACCTCAGAGCCTGCATTTTGCCAGTGTGCGAGTCGAACCCCTCAACCCCCCAGCTCAGCGGACTTAGTATCTGAAGCCATGCCTGCCTTGTGCGAGTGTGTGAATCGAAACTGCCCCCCCCCCCCCCCCCCCCCCCTCAGTTTTGCCGGATCTTCCGGGAGGCTGCTGTGGAGCGCTTCACCTTACGTTGCACGGCCTGGGCCACTCGGACTCTAGCAGAAATTTGTCGAGGCAGACGGGTGTTGAATAAAGCTAAGGCTTTGTCATAGTTGGGTAATATTTTACATTTTTAAGGGTACTTAAACCCAATAAGGAATAGAAATTTAGATTTTTAATCCTATCCCAACCATGAGCCAGAAAGCGGGTACTTTATTCAGGGATCCCCAGAGGGTCCTTGCACTCACTTGCCGAGTGATCGTGGTCATCAAGCTAAAACTTTCAGGGTTTAGGTCCAAAACCCTGAAGCCATGAACTCCAAACACGAAAACCCTACCCTGAGCTAGACACCTCTTGCGTTCGATTCCCGGCCTCGTGCATCGAAGGCCCTGCTTTCTGACAAGAAGTTCCGGAAGCAGACGCTGTTGGAGCCGAGCATGCAAGTATTCACCCTTTGTTTACTGTTGCTTGCGATTTGTTATTTTTGTATTTTGACATCTCGTCGTTGCTACGAGAATATCAGCAGGCTCGAGCTGTCTTGATTGTCTCGTCAAACCATCACGTGTCCGGCTTCCGCATCTCACTTCCGCAGCCGATGCGCTGCGGCAAAAGCCTGAATCTTGCTGCGCAAACACTACTTACCTTTGGTTAGTAGGGAATGGAAGAATGGTAGTAATTGTAGTTATAATTGTACCCCATTCCTCCATTCCCTACTAACCAAAGGTAAGACTAGCACTAGCTGGGGAAGTCCGGGCCTTCGGGCCCCGAAACCTTCTATCCATGAACACTCACCCAAAATCCTTTTCTCCTATTCCCTAAAGTCAGACGTCGCGAGCGGGCATCGATTCCAAGCAATGCGAGAGGGAAAAGAAGAAGTGTGAGCGCCGAAACCCTGAATAAAACCTTGTTGAAGATACACCAACACCCCTAAGCCCTAAACCCTAAAGGAAAAACCCTAACAAAAACCTTGTTGAAAATGGGGCCAAGGACAAGGCAAAGGCGGTGCACTCCACAACGGGGGCCGCCCGGCCTGGCTGAAGCTAAGGAACATAATTGGCATAGGCCGCAATAACTATCAGTATTAGGGCTGCTTTGCAACCTTAGTATAGTCATAATATAGATAATATCCCCCAGGTTAATTTATGACGACATGGACGCGCGTCCCACTTTTTTTGCAGCATTGCTTAGGCGATTCCCGCGTTTCAGGAGACTCCAGACTCAGCCCTGTCACAAAAAAAAACCGACAGACCCCGACAAGGCCAAAAGCTTAAACCGTAAATCCTAAATCTCCGAGCACATTCCAACACCCTAAGACCGTGAACATCCTCAATCAGTTAAAAGCTTCTACTTAAAAGAAAGCCCTTTAAATGTAAAGAAAACGATCCAAACAATGCCCCTCAACACACTCTATTGTGAGTTTCTGCATGTGTGTATACATGCCATTTCTCTCTCTCTATCTCTCTCTCTCGCTCTCTCTCTCTCTCTCTCGCTCTCTCTCTCTCTCTCTCTCTCTCCCTCTCCGTTTCCTTGTCTGTCAACCTATCATTCCCTCTACCTATTGCCTATCTATCTATCTATCTACCTGTCTGTCTATCTGCCTGTCCGCCCATCCATCTGTATTGTGTCTACAGTATTGCATACATTGTGTTTCTCTCTTGTGAAGTAAACAAGTACATGTAAATTCAATCATACCTCTATACATATATAGATGTATATATGGTCAGGCGTCTGGCGTTCCCAGCCCCCCCCCCCCACCCAATGGTATGGTCTGGTAGGGGGTGGGGGGGGGGGGGCTGGCGTGCGCGGAAAGGGGTCGGGGCCGTTGGAGCTGCCACAGTGGGGTGGTGCTGGTGGCCAGGGCTCATACGCAAGCCCTTCGCAAGCAAGCCGTAAACCCTATAACGCAGCGCGTGCCCCTGTTTTGAGTGACCTTAACTTGTACTTAAAACCGTACACCCAACCCTAAACCCCACCTAACTGCAGGCTCTATGCCTAAAGCAGAGCATACACCGCAAATCCTCCCTAAGCCCTTGTCGACTCGAAGCCATATACCTTGTAAAACCCAAAACTCAAAAGCTCAAGCTAGACCCAAAGCCCCAAAACCCCCACAACCTAACAGGGGGAAGAGGGAACCCACAACCCACACCACAGGGGAGGGGGGGCCCCACCCTATATCCGGACCATTGGGGGGAGGGGGGGGGGGCGGCGGAGCGCATGACCATATATGCATGTGCATGCTCTCTCTGTCTTTACAAGTACATATGCACATAGCTAGGCAGCTAGATGGGTGGTTGTCAAAAGTGTGGTCCCTTTTTGGGTACCCTAAATATTAGGTGCCGTACAATAATAAGGACCCAAAAAGGGACCCTAATTTTGACAACCACCCAGATAGACAGAGCAGGCACCTCTTCGTCTGCTGCCGTCCACAGCTTTGCCCTCCCTGGCGGCGCTGCCAAAGTGTCCAGCCGCGACTGTGGACCGCCGGGAGGGTGCTCTTGACTGTACCTATAGTCTCCATTGTAGTTCCTTTCTTGGTCAAACCAAAAAAGGAACTACAATGGAGACTGTGGGGCTCGGTTTGATTTATCTGGATTATTTGATTATATTATTCTACAATTACATTAATCCTATCTTATCAACTGCGATTATCGGGGTTTAGGGTATAGAGTTGGTATCCGTAGGGCAGGGTTGGACCCGCCCTATGCCCGAAACCGGAGAGTTGAGTCAAGGTAAGATCAGCTTGAGACTGGCTATATAATGTCAGAAGAATCCTCAAAGCCCCGGACCCCAGAGACCTAAAATCGAGCATTCCAGAAGGTATGCTTTTGGGCAGGAGAACGGTTTAGCAATAGCTGGAGGGCTGAAGAAGTGCTGAGGAATAGGTTTGGGGCACAGGGGGGCCGAGGAGTGGGGGGGGAAGTTGTGCCATCGTGCCATAGGGGTACAACTTAGCTGTATGCACCTCATATGTTTTGAACGACGGTGTGTTGCAGCTGTGCGGCAGAGAGATGCACAGGAGTGCGAGACGGCAGTTCGAATGGCTGAGAAGCAGAGGAAGAAGCTGGTTTTAGCTTCTCGGCACGGCACGGAGCAGCCGCCTCTTTTAAAGTTAGCCAGGGACCTTCCTGGGTTATTTGTGACTTTGGAGGTCTTCCAACGAGTATACTGCGAATATGCGGAGCCTGCAGAAGAAGTGGGCATTTTTCTTCATACAAATGTATGTTGGTAGTCTTGACTCACCTATCTGCAATCCAATCTATAACCTAAGCTAAATCTAGCTGCAGGCACATATTTATGCATATATATATATATATATGTATGTATGCATATATGTATAGGTATGCATATATACCTCCTTACATGCATGCATGCTTACACACATACATACATACATACATACATACATACGTACATAAGTACATACGTACATACGTACATACGTACATACATACACACCTACTCGCATGTTCAGATACTCATATGTTGGACTGCTGAAAATCAAAGGTACCTTGTCTACTGTTGGGTCCTTATAGTAAGGATCCTTGCATTCCTTACCGCTGAAATAGGTTTCATACTGGAGACATACAGTGGATACTAACTCCCTGCTAGCATACTCCCGCTGGGTTTGAGTTGGCACGATTTGTGCGATTTATGGCTGAGGGCTTCAAAGTTGTAGTTTTTGGAGTTTAGATCCGGGGTTTTCGAGTTTAGGGTGGCGAGCGATTTCTGGGCCGGCAATCTAGGTCAACGTCCCGGGGAGTCCCCCCCCCCTCGCCCCATGCACGAGTTCAGGTATTTTTTTCTATTATTGGTCTTTGCCAAAGTCTGCATGTGAGCGAGCTAGGCTTAGCTGAAACATGTGACGCAATGTTGCCCATCATGCCGTATTGCGGCCCGTACATCGGGGAAACATTGCTTCGGCTCAAGACAGCTGGCTCGGGCCCACGCCACGCAGCCCCACGCCATGAACATGCTGGGACCACGAAGATGCGAAAAGTTGCATAAACAGCTGGGACACACAGTAGGGTTCAGGCTCACTATACTAAGATGGTCGAGTCTCCGCAGTCGTGCGCACGGACCAAACACCCAAGCCCCCCCTCCGTAGAACGCGACCTTGACAAGAGCCTTTGTTTATTCCAGGAAGCCCATCGAAACCAGGCCCTAAATCCTAAACCCGAAACCATCGAAACCAGGAATTCGCAAGTAGGACCGCCTCACGCGGATCCAATTGCATGGCGAATCGCTGGGAGAACCTGCTGTTGGAGCTGACGGATGAGCTGCACCGTGCCTTTTCCGACGTTAACCACATGATCCCATAAACTCTATCATTGAATGCTGCGTTGGGCATAAGGGGTTTCCTGCATTTGCTGTGCTCTTATCTAGCATGTCCCAGGCTTGGGTGCCCGAGCTTGGTGCCCAGATTTAGTGCTCCTGTCTTTTGAAGAGCACTGCAGTGAGCCCGTGTTTTGGCCACACCTTTGCTATTCAGCCAAGGACTTTCTGCAAAATTGCAGGTATTGGAGCTCGAGAATCAGAAGCTTCGATCAAAAGGCTGACGGATCAAGTTCATCGCTACCACCACGAACATGTTGATGTTGAAGACCCTGTGGTAGTGTTAAGCAGGCTATTTAAAAGTATTCAGCCTTCATCCTTTGAAGGCAAGTTACATATACCGAGCATTGGTTTCGCTTCTGTCCCTGCTTCGCAGACTGCTGCTTCGCAGACTGCGCATAGTGCTGCAGGTGACAAGTGTCGTGTTCCCCAGTCAAATCGTGTTCCAACTCTGCTGCCAGTCTGATGCGCAGTTTCGAGCCAGGTAGCCTTAGCGGGCATGTGCAGCTGTCTCCATGATTGGGGGAGGGTGGGGGTTGTACACGCACCAACAACCACCCAGAGCAGATCCATGCAATTCAGGATGTGATGCTCGCAAAGGCGGCGGGACATGAACCGAAGTCTTTGTTTGCAAATGAGGCACATCGCACCAAGCCCTACGATTTCACTCGGCCTCCCTACGCATAGCTTTGACCCAGCAAGCCTGCAGAATGCCTGGTTCTCGATTGTGCCTTCGGGAAGCCAGGGACTCCAATATCCCACAGTTAAGGAATATTCCTTAAATCATATGACGGATCCTACTATAACTTAAGGAATATTCCTTCAATAATATTAGGGATCCTACTATAATTTAAGGAATATTCCTCAATTAAGGGATATTGGAGTCTCTGGGAAGCCTTTTCGCTGCAAGCTTTGTGCTCTGCGGCTGCGACTGCCAGGCTTATCCCAGAGAGCCCAATACCCCTAAATTAAGGAATATACCTTAAATTACAAGGGGAGTCATATTATGATTTAAGCTATATTCCTCAATTAAGGGATATTGGGCTCTCTGGGATAATGACCCAAACTTCCAGGCTTAATGCGTCCCACTGTAACAACCCCGAGCCCTTCCAGTCGCCTTAGAAAAGCCTAAGCTTTTCAACCCTACTTGGAGGTTCGTGGGTAGTTGTAAGTGGGGTTATATGTCCCTTAAGAGGGGTTATAACGATAGGTATCCTACTTATAACCCTACTTGTAACTCACCGTGAACCTCCAAGTACACGGGTTTAGGGCTGTCCCCTGAGCCCTGATCTGACAACCTGTACATCGTGAACCCTACAGCGTGCCTTAGCTGCCCGGCCGAGGAAGCTGAAGGAGCCTGGAGCTCCCGAGCTAGGCAGCCAGGCCCACCATCAGTGCATACAGCTGTCAGCATCATCTGTCGGAGGTCTTCAGTATAGCTATGGTGATGATGCTAATAAACCGTAGTTTAATCGTAAAGGCTTCGATATACCCTCCATGTTCAGTAAGTTGCTGCCCCTTAAATTCAGCAAAGTAGAGCAACCCACTGTAATGGTGATATTTAATTATTTGCACCAGAGAGAGAGAGAGAGAGAGAGAGAGAGAGAGAGAGAGAGAGAGAGAGAGAGAGAGAGTGTCTGTCTGTGTGTGTGTGTGTGTTTGTGTTTGTGTTTGCTAGTGGTTGGTTGAGCGTGAAGTTTTGGATCGCCACAAGTCTCAAGCAGCTGCTCGACAAGTTGATTCTTCAAGCCAGGCCCTCGCGACCCATCAAGATTCCTTCAAGGGTTCCCTTGATTCCTTTAAAGGGCTCTGAATGGGTGGGCCCATAAACCATCCCTAAGCCCGCCTAAACGGTTGGATCCCCCCCTTCCACTTCCAGTTCTAGTCTCTGCTCCCGACGTGGCACGCATCTACCGAGAGTGACACGAAAGGATCAAAGCCTTGATTTACAAGTGCTCGACACCCACATGTGGCCTGTCTTGTCTCAAACACTTGCACAGCCGCGGAACCCGCCTTTTCAAAACCTCTGAAAGCCCTGTAGGCCTCTTGACATGTTTGGGCGAGGCCGAAACCCCGCAGCAGTAGAGCGACAGAATCCTGTAAACTCGTTGTTTCGGTATCTTGCAGAATGAATTGCTACAAACAGCCTACACAGCCGTTTGCAAAGACCCTTGAAACTATAGGTTATAGATGGTAATGGATTGTTCTAGCTTGCAGGAACATAGTACTGGAGAGATTCTTATTCCCTGACTGTCCCAATCGTAAACCGTACAGCCTGATAATTCGGTGCCTACTACTGTTATGATATAAATCCTGCATTACCCATAGTAAGGAATATAGTTTAGGGTCCTTAAGGTAATGCAGGATTTCTATCATCAACCGTATGCAACCGTATGAACCGAGTGTGCGAGTCGACACCCCTGAACCGGCAAAGGAATTCTTAAAGGAAAGCTATGGAACAGACACACTTAAAGGAAAGCTATAAAGGCCCCTTTTGTGTCCTTGGAGGCCTTTGTCCGGGCTCCCAGCCCCGACGATGGTCCTCCGGAGCTTCCCGCGTCGAGTCGGCGGCCGCTTGGGTCCAAAATGTGGGAGTTTCCGAAAATAGGGGACCCTTATATCAAGGGCTCCTTTAAGGGTTCTATTAAGGGTTTAGGGTTTAGAGTTTCCGAAATAGGGGACCCTAATATAGTACCCCAAATAGTAGGATCCGTATGATAAGGACCCCAAAATAAGGTACCCCTATTTTCGTAACCTCCCAGGTGGGGGCCTGGTTCCTTTGACGGGGTCCTTTAAAGGGTTGCTTTAAAAGGGTCCTTTACAGGAGTCTACAGTCTATAAGGGATCAAGATAGGGGCCTTAATGGTTAGAATAGGGTTTCTTTAAAGGAGGTCTGAAAGGGCTAACAAGGGCTATTATATGGATTTAGTACCAGGGCTTGAATGATGACCAAATACTATACTGGGGTTTCCTTGTTGGAGGTATAGTATAATTATACCCCAAAACCCTAGTCTTCTTATTAAGGCCCCTGTAGTAGGGTTTGAGGACTTTTGGGGCTTTGAGGATTTAAGTATTTCGGGCACTAGTGCATTTGCAGTAGCTGCTCAGAAAAGGGTTTTCAGTGCACGTAGGCTTTGGAATTTTGGAGGTTTTCGGGTTTATGGTTCTCGGAGGGTCCAATATCCGCCTGATTGAGGGGCAAGCCTAGCATGTTATCGGTACGGTGCTACTTGTAACACTTAGTAAGATGAAATGTTTGTATTGAATATGGGCTTTGTGGGTTTAGGGCATACGGGCTGGGTGAGGGTGGTGACAGGGTTCAGGGTTCGAGTGTTTGGGGTTTCGGGTCTAGAGTGAATAAAGCCTTTATGACACAGAGCTTGAGGGTTTGCCTTAACCTTCAAAACCTGATGTTTGTTAGGGGGTTCATCATCAGTGCCTACAGAACAGGGTCGGTTATGGTGGGTTGATAGGTTCATTTGGTGCTGTTTCGGGTTTGTAGGTCTCGAGTGTTCAACTTCGGCTGCGGAGTTTTTGGGAGTGCCGGAGATGAAAGCTGGGCCCAGGCAAGGTTCTGGGCTTGGGACTCCTCAAGCGTGTATAAGAGTTGAGGGTTCATCGCGTTTTTTGTCTTTTGTGTATATATAGAACTTAAGTATAGAACTTACGTATAGAAATCGAAATGTACGTATATGTTATCAGATCTGTATGCGTAATATATATATATATATATATATATATATGTATATATATATATATACATATATATAGTATATATATATATATATAGATAGATAGATAGATAGATGTGTGCGTGTCTATGTGTGTATATACTACTTGGCTTCGATTTGAGACGCGTGTGTGTGTGTGTTGTGTGTGTGTGGTGTGTGTGTTGTGTGTGTGTGTATGTGTGTGGTGTGTGTGTGTGTGTGTGTCTTTGTGTGTGTGTGTGTCTGTGTGTTTGTGTGTGTGTGTGTCTGTGTGTTTTTGTGTGGTTGTTGGCCGTGGCTGCTAATGATGGATTGTCCGTGGTCGCTTGCAAAGACGCCCCCCCATTCACCCCGCCGAAGCCTGCGGCAGTCTGAAACTCTGGAATTCAACAGACGGTAAAGATGCGACAGGCGTATTGAAGCCTCGCGGTTTCAGTCAGTGAGGGTTACGGATGTTGGATGATGTTCTATGTAAGGTTCGGGTTTTTTCCCAAGAGACCCAAGCAGGATCTTCGCTGCAAACCGGATAGTGTCGGCATGGTCTTTCTTGCACAGAGCGAAGCGCGGCGAAGTCCGACATCTTAGTCTGCCAAGCCGACCAATGAAACGCTGCTCGTAGCATGATCAGAACCACAGTAGCAGTGAATGTAGCTGCCATCTGGAAGAAGACACTTACGACCATGATATGATAAGACAACGCATCACATCGGAGGTCAATTACAAGGAACAGCCCCGCCCCCATGTTGGCCTTCCATGTTTTTAGCTCTGATTGAAGGGCCTCCTCATCAAGCTCTGGGCCGGGTGCCCAGCGGATGCGCGGACATGCAACATTTCATGGCAATCCTAACTGGACCTTAAAAGGCAAAGATTTCACTTGTGATGATGTTTCGGTTATTGTGGCCGTTATGTAGGTGGGAGTAGTTTTCGGATTTCTTCTGGTCGGCCGCCGCCTGTCGTAGTAGTTTTGTCCTTGGTCCCACGAAGCCCGAAATCGAAGACCACACGCTAAGTAGTTGAGAAGCTGAGAGCAGCAGCAAGAAGTGCCACCTCTCCGTCCTACGGTTGATGATATAAATCCTTCATTACCCATAATAAGGAATATATGCCACAATCCCCATAGTTTAGGGTCCTAAAGGTAATGCAGGATTTGCATCATCAACAGTATCAGGAGCGCCGGTGCAAATCTTCTGGGTGGGAGTGGCCGCCTTAGTCTCTGGGTTTCCGCATCCAGCCGCATGTTCACATGCCATCAGTGTTGCGTACTCCCGTAGACTATCATGTATGCACGGACTATAAGACAGTATAGTATACTCTAGTTTACTATGATACAGAGGTGTACGACCATAACATGTCATGCTGTTACTTGCTGTCAAAAACTACGGAATATTATAAATCAGCGGATTCGGCTGAGGTTTGCCGCTCAACATCCGGGGCACAGCCTCCGCTACCCTCCGGGAAGAGCCAGAGCACAGGAATGGCAATGAGGCAGAAGATCTAGAGACCAGCCTAAACCCGAAGCCAATCTTTTAAACTCCTAAACCCTAAACTCTGAAGCCATGCCTGCCTCGTGCGAGCGTGTGAGTCGAAACCCTAAACTCTAGACTTCTCTTTGATGCCAAAGGAGAAGACCATGCAACGTCGATTCTCATCTCAAGCCGAGGGAGCCCTGCAAACCTTAAGCCAGGGACACCCCCCGTGACAGCCGATTCTTCTCAATTCGCAGTTCAGGATTCTCCTCAGGGCCCCTCAGCCAAAGTTTATGGTTTTACAGGTTCACGATGGCTCAGGCCAACCTGCAAAGAGAAAGAAGGCATATCGGGTTTCCGGCAGTCTGTAAGGGTTCTACAAACGTTCTATAACGGGCTTAGGATTTAGAACATTAGGGTCTAGACTTTGGGGGCTTGTTTTCGGGTCTAGCGGTACCTTCAGGGACTGCCTGCTGCGAAGCGGTCTCCCAGTCCTTGCCCTAAACCCTGAAGCGTCGAAACCCCGGAGCGTACCCCTCGAAGCCCTATATACTATATACCCCTACCCTAAACCCCTCAACCCTACATACCCCTACCCTAAACCTTGAACCTTAAACCCTAAACCATAAACCCTATATGCCCCTACCCTAAACCCTAAACTCCGAACCCTAAACCCTAGACCCTATATACCCCGACCCTAAACCCTAAACTCCGAACCCTAAACCCTAAACCCTATATACCCCGACCCTAAACCCTAAAACCCAAGAGGTGGATCTACTGAAACCAACGAGTAGCCTACGGAGCGACGCAGCGGAGTCGACGATGCCAACCTTCTCCGCGGTGACCGAGGCTTCCTGGGTTTAAAACGACTTGGAGGTTCATGGCTAGTTATACGGGTTCCTTTAAGGGTCCCTTTTAAGGGATCTATAGGGGTTCCATAAGGGTATAGGGTTTATGGTCTACTTGGAGGTTCATGGTTAGTTATAAGTAGGGTTGTAAGTAGGATAACTATAACCCATATGAAGGGACTTATAACCCCAATTACTCATAACTACCCATGAACCTCCAAGTACCTGTGCTTGGGACGAGGGCTGCAGTATCAGTAGCCTCTGCTAGTAACTTGTTAGAGACCGTATAATGGAATACCCCTGAAGAGTATGTTTTAGAGTATCCGTGAAGCACCATTGTAGTAGTGGGTTTGGGTTTTCAGGTATCCTTAAACTCTACATCGTAAACGGTTAAAAGCGGGTTTCTGGATTTAGGATTTGTCCTGCTGCCTTGCTGCCTTCAGCCTCCTGAAACGTGCCGGCCCCAGAACGTGAAACAAAACCCTTGAACCCTAAACCGCTAGTAATTTCCTAGGTTCCAAAACCCCCAAACCCCCAAGCACGAATCGTTTCAGTCAGGGGCCCAAAAAGCACGTAAGCATAAGCATGTTTTAGGGATATCCCTACCTTCTTGGGCTTCATCATAAGGGGGTTTTATATGGGATATCCCTATCCTAATTTTTGCCTATCTGCCTTTTTGGGGCCCTGCTCAGACTCAACGAAACATCGCCGTTTGAGGACCTGGGTACCGGCTCACGCGCTTCCGCTCTCATCAAGGCTACTCAGAATGGAAGCTGAATTAGGGCCCAAAAGAAGCACATAAGCAAAAACAAGGATAGGGATATCCCATACAACCCCCCTTATAATGAAGCCCAATAAGGTAGAGATATGGGGTCTCTGATGAATTACAAGGTTTCCATTGTTTAGGGGATTAGGAGTATGGTATACGATTTGGGGGATTAGGGGCAAAGTAGAAGTTATAAGGTTCAGGCTTTTAAGGTTTAGGGGTCCAGGGCTTATAAAGAGTCTAGCGGTGCTTACGCGAAAGCTGACGCCAGGGCGCCCATAGGTGAAAGTCGCTTTGTGGAGCTGTTCCAGCCTTGCTGATAGTTCCAGCCTGAAGATTGAGCTCTGTACGAAGTGTCGACTCTGCCAGCAGCAGTGGGACTTGCCGAAGAATCTCGCACTTAGGAAGAACGGATGCAGTTCATGATCATGCGAGCTCAGAAGACCAAGAACTTCGTCGCCCTTCAGCTGCACCTGTGAGCCTCCACGAGTGAAGAGTTCCGATCTAAGGTGTTTCCGTCAGGTTGTCACGTCTTTTCATCTGAGAAGATTGCGAAATTTTGCTTCACCGAGTTCAGTTACCCTTCAGGCATTAAAGCCGTGGTACATCATCAATCCGGACAGCAGCGGCCTTGCAAACACCTGGCAACTACTAACCATGTGTGCTTTGGCCTTCGTCGGGCTGGTGACGCCTGTGCAGGCAGGCTTCTTGAAAACTCGAGCCGCTTGCTAGAAGCGCTGAGCGTCTCCATGAGCTTTTAAGCACCACAGAACCCACATATCGGATGCTGCACTCTGTGCCGGAACGCGTTGGATGCAGATTGCAAGGACTTGGAGGTTCATGGGTAGTTATAAGTAGGTAGATATGTCCCTCAACCTGGGTTATAACTATAGTTATCCTACTTGCAACCCTACTTGTAACTAACCATGAACCTCCAAGTACAGGTCGGCTTGCTCAAAGTGGAGTTTGGGCTGCTCACAGTTCTCAGCCTTGCGGTGGACCTGGTCTATGTCGTCGACATGGTTCTGCAATTTTTCACATCCTACCCAAGACGGACAGCACGCGGAGTGGAGTGGGAAGTGCGACTGCCGCGAATCACGATTCACTACTTGAAGACTTGGTTCATTCTGGATTTCGTGACCCTCATCCCTTTTGACATCATAGGCCAGGTTAGGGGTGCAATTTCGTCCGAGCAACGCCGCTCCGTTCGGGCTGGATTGTGCTAAAATGTTAAATGAACTCTGAAAAAGTAGTTACTGCAGAGCAGGTCATCAATCAGAAGGCTTGTCGCGATACAGCCAACAACAGGCCCCGGAATACTAAGCCTACACCCTAATCTGGGGGCTTGCACTGTGTGTTGGGTTCATGTGCACTAAGTCGACTAAGGTTGCTAGGCTTGGTGTACTATAGGGGCCTCTACCAACAATTACTATTCAAGGGTTCCTTAGAACCCAATTCTAATTATTAAGGCCCCTATATTACTCTCCATTTGTCGTGAAGCCTTGCTGGCCTTGTGAGAGCATGAGAGCCGAAACCCTCAAGCCATGTGTGGGTGGTTGTCAAAATTAGGGGTCCTTTTTTGGCTCATTATTGTAATACGGCACCTATTATTTAGCCCTAAACCCTAAACCCTAAACCCTAAGGTACCCAAAAAGGGACCATAATTTTGACAACCACCCATGTCCTGTGCCCCCCAAAATCTCTTCCAGCTCTGACTTCCGGCGTCGAAGACGTGAAAGAGCTGAATGGTGTGAAAGCCATACGAGTCTTGAGGCCGGGAAGTCATCTTAGGGGTACTTAGAAATATGTTTTTTAATTTTTGGTTCTTATACTCCCAAAGAAACAGCTAAGATTCTAATTTTTGCTAGGGTTCTAAGTTCAGTATAGTCATAAACGGGTGTAGAGACCCTTTGCTTGAATTTAGGGCTGTGGGGTTTAGGAGTTTAGGGCTTCAGCAGACGCAATAGGCCTGGATGCAAAAAAGGGCGTCAGCTTGCGAGAGATCATGAGAGTGTTGCTCGAAAGTGGTCTGGCTTCGTGCTTTCGTGTATTCCCTGTAGGCTCGTGAAGCTGTTTCGCGTGTTGAAGACGTCAAAGTTCACTCACAAGTACGAGCCGCTTGGGAGATCTTGGAATGATCCTGCGTGTGTTCTTAGGAGGAGGCAGGGTTTGCATGTAACCCCTATAAATATTGCTTTCGGTGTCCTCTCATATAGTATAGTAGTATGGGGTTTTAGGTAGCGATAGAGATAGGGCAGTAGCAGCTAGGCGATGAAAGCTGCAATCGCTGCCTGACCGAGGATCCCGTACTCCATTCCATACCAGCAGGTGGGAGTTTCCGAAAATTAGGGGTCCCTTCTTTGGGGTCCTTATAAAAAGGATCCTGCTATCTAGGGTACTATATTAGGGTCCCCTATTTTCGGAAACTCCCAGGTGACCTTATTTAAATTCTTGTTGATGCTCATCCTGGTGTGTCACTGGCTGGCCTGCGTTTGGGCACTGACTCTCCAGCTGGTGAGCAGCGACCTTCCTCAGTGGATAGCTGCTTGTCTGCGGTCAGCCATCATATCTATCTCAGCTGAGCCTGCCCTTGGATTCTAAACCCTAAGCCCGAAACCCCTAAACCCTAAACCCTAAACCTCTTAGCCTTCGCCACAGCAAAGAATCACCACTCCCAGTCCCAAAGGGTCAAGGGTCCAAGTATCATTCTAGTATATAGGGTATTTTGGGGGGTCTAAGCATATACTATAATGATACTTGGACCCTTTGGGAGTCTTAGTCTCCGGAACACTTGGTGGCCTCGGGGTGGTGGCTTGTAGAAGCGTTTGCTGCTGTCCCCATTCTGGCAGTAGAAAGTGTGAATCGCTAGTACGGGGAGTGGCTCGAACACTTTCCCAAGTGTTGCTTGGTAGTTACGATTGCTATGTTCAGCATGCCGACCACCCCAAAACCCACCGCCCCCCGCGTAATAAAAATCGCAAGACCGCTTAACCCGATACGTCCACGTCCCCTTACACCGCGCACCAACACCCTAAAGCGCCTCTTTAAAGGACGAGGTGGAAGCAGAGGACCTGGAGTTCGGCATCCAGACGCGGGACTCGCCGGTGAGCATGCAACCTGTAAGACTTACAGGGCCATATATAATAGTTAGAACAGGGTTTTGGGGGTATACTCTACTGTAGCTTTCATAAGGAACACCGAAAATAGTAGAGGCAATTATTAACAGGCCGTATCTTTATGGGTGGTTGTCAACATTATCGTCCTTTGTTGGGGTACCCTATATATTAGGTGCCGTATTATGAGAAGGATCCAAAAAGGGACCCTAATATTGACAACCACCCATATAACATAGGCCTTCACTGGGGTGTAGATTACAGGGGAGACTATGCCTGTAGCCCTGAGTCCTAAACTGTTTAAGTCTAGGCGGGTCATCTGCATGCTTGGCGCACCAAAATCGCTGTGCTTTCATGAACAACAGGAAGGCACTTTTGTCAAGCGGCTCAGGTACATTGCTTCGTTCTACTTCTGCAGTTACACGATGACGTCTGTGGGGTACGGCGACTTCGGTCCGAGGAATATTCTGGAGCGGGTTGTGTGCACCGTCATTGTCATGGTCTCTGGGTTGCTTTGGGCCTATGTCCTGGGACAGGTTTGCGCCATCGTGGCAGACATGAATGCCGAGAGCCAGGGTTTCAAGCAGAAGATGCACCATCTAAACCAGATGATGCACACCCAATCCATCCCACAAGAGCTGCAGCGCCGTGTTCGCAGCTTCTTCCTGCACAACAGGACCGCAGATTTTCTTGCAAGCTTTTGGAGATTCTCACTTCCTTTCCTGCAGCCCCCTCTTTTGTAGGCCGTAGGCCCTGCAAAGCTCTCCCAGCCCTTTCTTGGCGCTTCCTTTTGATACAGAAAATGGGCCCCTAAATCCCCAAGCCCACTAAACCCCCTAAACCCCCTAAACCCCCTAAATCCTAAACCCCAACCCTAAACCCTAAACCCCCTAAAAAAAACCCTAAACCCTAACCCGGGGCGCCCCGATCTTCCAGGAACCAGGCGCTCTACGTCACACAGCAGCAGCTCCTGGAGAACATGAGTCCGCAGTTGCAGGCGGGAGCACAGGGAATTTGTGGCCTTCATCTTCAGAGATGAAGGGGATTTAGGGCTTTAGGGGGTTTGGGGGATTTAGGGTTTTAGTGGGTTTAGGGGGTTTGGGGATTTAGGGTTTAGGGGGTTTGGGGATTTAGGATTTAGCGGTTTGGGGGGATTTAGGGTTTGGGGGGTTTAGGGTTTAGGGGCCCCCAAGAGTGTTCGCTGGCACACAATCCAAGCCCATGCTGAGAAAGGGGGTTTGGGGGCCAGGATCTGGCTAGTCTCCAAGCCCCGTGGCAAAAGGGGGTTTGGGGGATTTAGGGTTTAGGGAGAGCCCTAAGGGCCCAAGTACCAACATAGTAGCTACTTAGTTGATATTTGGACCCCAAATGCCAAAAGTATATATGCTATACTGATACTATTACTTGGACCCTTTGGATAGTGAAGGTGGCCTCCATCTTAAAGTCACAGAAAAAACGGTCCATGTTCTGCCCAGTGCCCTTTGCGAAGGAACATCTTGTTGTGGGTTCCCGCGGGAACCGTTCAAGCTAGCCTCAGTCTTTGCAGTTAGGTTTACGCACATCGTTCAGTAGGCTCCCTGGCAAAAGACCTTAGAGCGGTGAGAAGCTGATCATTAGGTTCCCCACGTTTTTTTTGCAGATTTCAATCGTTGGGTGCAGGCAGAAGTCTGCACCGCTCTGACATTACCCTGGCTGGAGAAGGCAGGAAGACGCGACACATTCCCTTCAGCTTTCTCATAGCCCTATCCTTAGAGCCTCCGTCGTAGTTCGATTCCGTTTCATATGTTAGGGTCCTATGGCCATGTAAAGATTGGATAGAAAACGGTGGAGACAACAGGCAGTGTTCCAATTCTGCAGGAGCTTGGAGTTTCAGGTCTCTCAGGATAACCAGGATCATGCAAAGCAAAAAGGTCTAGACGCCTGAGTAGGCAAGATTTTTACACCAGGCATTCGGTTATGGTTCTCAAAAAATAAATAGAAGCCGGAAGAGGCATGGGATTGAACATGTACCATCTAGGACAGGGCCTAAACCCTAAACCCTAGTTGAACAATTAGGCCCGAAAACCCTGCAGAGTTGGAGACCTTCATGACTCGTAATTTAAGGCTTCGGGCTTCGGGTTCCGGGCTTAGGCTTTGGGGTTTAGTCGACGATATCTATATCCGCCCTACGTTCACTTAGCCGCAGGTGACATTCTTCGGGCAGTTCATGCGCTTGATCCAAACCTTGGAGACCCGCGGAGTCTAGGCTGCGTTGAGTTCGGCTTCCGGGTTGAGGGGAGTTTGAGGGTTTAGGGCTCCAGCGAGCTAAGCTGTGTGAGGCTACTTGCTTCGGATTGATGATGTCGGCTGGCGTCGGCGCTTGACCTAGATGCAGCATCTTTGCATTGCGAACCTCGCAAGCGTAACTTTTAGTCCAAAACGTGCTTTGATAGAAGGAGTCCACACAATGCGCTACCGCGCCTGCATCGCGGATATCTCTCGACAGCTCTTGCCCGTG